CAGGTCTCCCCAAGGCCGCCACCGGGGGTGGGGGGAGGGGGCAGCTCTCCTTGTGGGTCCAGCACTCGGACCCAGAGCTGCAATGGGGGGGGAGGGGGGAAGAGCGGGGCTGAAAGGGAGGGCTGCGATTCTGGCCTCCAGGCCCCCCCCAGGCGCACCTGCTGCAGGAAGGCAGGCAGCTGAAGGCGCAGCTGCTCCTGAAGGGAAGGGTTGCCAGCAAAGACCGGAGCGTTGACCATCATCTGCAAGGGAACGGCAGCCAGGCTTAGTGGGCGGAGCCTCAGCCCTCCCGGGACTTTTGCCGTGGGGGCGAATAGGTGTGGGACAAGAGGGTGAAGGGCTCGTCCTCTGAGCTCGTGGGTTGGTTTCCGGACGTTTGGCCGGTGCAGGTCAATGGGCCCTCAACCTCGACCCACACCGAGACCAAGGAGCCCCGGTTCGGTTGGAGCAACACCACAACCATCGGCCACGTTTCCACCCGCCACGCCTGGCCCTCCCCAGGCAGCTCCACCAGCAGACCCCCTGGGCTCAACCAGGGGTCCAAATCAACCGCCCAGCCCACCAGAGGCGGCCCCCACACAAAGCCCCCCGCCAGCAGTTCACCCCCCCCCAGGCCCTCGCCTGATGTACCCTCCCTGTCACCAGACCCTCAGCCACAATCCGAAGACCCTCACTTGACCCACCCACCCCTGAAGCCCTAGGAACAGAAGAGCAGCGGCAGCCCCCAGACTCCTCGGAAGACGAAACCCACCACGAACCTCCACCCTCCCCAACTTCACTCCCACAGATCTACTACGACAGAGAGGAATCATTCAGCAACCACAACCGGGACCGGCCACTTGGTCGTTAAGCGAAGCTGAGTGAAACCATAACTGTGCTTTAGCCTCCGACTTGAGGCTCCTTCGCTTTATAAGCCTCCGAAGATCGTAAATGTGAGGGCTGGCTGCAGCTTTTTCATCCCCGTTGTAACCGCAGACGGTCACTAAATGAGGACACACACACACCCCTGCCTTTTCCTGGAGGCAACCACGCTGCAAAGCTGCCCTGCAGAGGGAGGGACAAGAGCATCTCTCCAACTCCAACTGAGCAAAGGGGTCTCTCATTCCCCCCCCCCCCCCGCCCCCCCCGGGGGGGGGGCCACCCGTTCTGGAGACCCAGGGCCCCTCCCCCACTCACCCCCCCCCCCCACCCACCCCGGCCAGGTGTGAAAAGAGACTCACCT